AAAGTTCAGTTAATCCAAGTCGACTGGCAGTAAAGCTCACATTCTAAAAAGTGTTTATCATTTAAATCTGCTCCAAAAAAACCACAACAAAATCTCACTAATGTTTAAATTTTTGCATGAGAGCCTTTAAGCAAGTTACAAGCCTGTCACAGGTCTAATGTTTAAATTACAAGCTGTTTTATAACACAAAGAACTGAGTTTATGAGATTTAAGAAAAAAATCTTGGGTCATTAAAAGAAAGATAGAGTCAAGTCAGGGAGTTAGCTCCTTACCTACCTACCTAGTACAAAACACAAGTCCTATTCAAAACTGCAGTCACTTGCGGACTGGGTGGAGTCTGGTCCCCTCTGCATCAGATCCCAAAGAATAACAAAACCATTAAGTACTAAAAGGAGTAACCAGGACACATGCGGCGCAAGCCTTTACTGTGGTTATTGCCAATTTCAAAGCAGAGAAGTGAGAAACGGCCTTTGTGGGGATCAAAACAGCTCCTGGAAATCTGCCATAAACATGTGTACGCTATTTGTTATGGGTGAATCGAGGGGGTAAAAAAGGCTTCATAAGAATGTGCAGGAATAAAGTTAGGAGCAACAAATCATCTTCCGCACAGGACTGAAATTAAGTCAGGTCAGCAGCAGGAGGTCCCAACACACGGCCGCGCGCCTCCCCTGGCCCGAGCGCTCCCCTGGCCCGCGGCGACGGCGCCTTCGGGAGTTGTTATAGTAACCACACCGACGCACGCGGCGTCCAGGAGGTGCCACGGAATTCGCAGGTACTGCATAAACTGGGCTCCCAGCTTCTCCCGATAACAAAAGCGCATTCGGGTTTTATCCTACGGGCCCACCTGCAATTTCTGCAAGATCTGTTTGCCTTCTTCCTCTTCATCAGCCATCGTTTCCTGGCCACTCTCGGCTACTCCGCCCCCAACTTTATAACCAGAGAGACTCATACCTACGCTCATCTTGGAGCCACAGCGACATCTAGGGCGCTGGAGGCTTGTCTGCACCTAAGTAGAGGAGCTGGTTTTCAAGGAAGGGTATCGCTCCTAACCAACTTAACCCAATGCCTAAAGACCAAAAGAGATGCCACGTTACAGTTCATAAACTTCATTTCCAAAATCCTAGAAACAATCTGTCCTCGGCTAATTGCATGTACTGTATATTTTTGTCTCATTTTTTCCTACTTATTTATGCCCAGATTATAATACCCCCAAAAAGAAGACAGGTTGAGAGTAGATGCCTGTGTTACAAGTTTAAAATTTGAAGGAAATGTAGTACACCTTTACAGTGATTTTCTATGTATGAGGAACTTTATCATTTTGAACACACTATCCTAATAAATCTACTACATTTGGGGTAGTGTGAAAGCCATCACTAATATACTAGTATATTAGTGCACTAATAATGCTTATTGACAGACTATATATCCAGGATACATGAATGTCTCTGGAGAAGGAAATAGGAGGACTGAGAGTTGTTGGTAGGCAAAGAAAATTTCACTATGTACACTTTTGAATTTATTGTTATGTACATGTATTAGTTACTCAAAAATAAGCATAATTTTTAAATTAAAAAATTACTTCCACATAGACTCTCTCTGAAAGAGACACAAGACACCTGCAACAATAACTGCTTCCAGAAAGGGGGAGCCAGTGGCTGGGAGACAGGTGCCTTTTCTGTACCTTTTGAATTTGTACCATGTGAATATATTAAACTTTTCAATAATAAGTAACTATTTTAAAAGTTGCATGTAATAGTCCTAACAAAGTTTCTTTTTATTGTTTAGTTTTAATTATAGCTTACTTGTACTCCAGACTGAGTCTGTGAATATAAAGGAAGAAACTAAAGTTCAAGGCAGAGCTTGGCTGGCTTGGCTCAGTGATTGAGTGTGGACCCATGAACCAGGAGGTCATGGTTCAATTCGTGGTCAGGGCACATGCCTGGGTTGTATGCTTGATCCCTAGTGGGGGGCATGTAGAAAGCAGCTGATCAATGATTCTTTCACATCTACCTCTCTCTCTCTCTCTCTCTCTCTCTCTCTCTCTCTCTCTCTCTTTCTCCTCTCTTTCTCCCCCTTCCTCTCTCTCTGAACTCAATAAAAATATGTATTTTTAAAAACTGTGTATGGAAGAAAAATACTTTGTACTGTAACCTGTAAAATCTGTGTGATTACTATGAAATAGGGAGGGACATTTTAAAACTTTATTCATTTTAGAGAGAGAGAAGAGGGATAAGAGAGAGACATCACTTTGTTTCACTAATTTATGCATTCATTGGTTGATTCTTGTATGTGCCCTGAACTTGGATGGAACCTGCAACCTTGGCATATTGGGACTATGTTCGAACCAATTGAGCTACCCAGCCAGGGTTTAAAACTTTTAAGTCAGGATTTTTAATCCTCTTTCTCAGACAAGTGGTCTTTGGCACCAATTCAATGCCAACAGGAATCCCCAATTTGGGGTGTGGTGAAGAAGGAAACTTTATTCAGTGCAAAACAGCTCAATTGTAATACAGCATGGCACAGCAGTGAGGTAGTCCTGGGGCCAGGTGGTCCTGGAGCCAGGCCCCTCTCCAGCTAGACAGCTCTCCTCCGTTCCTAGTCAGCTCTGCTCTGTGCCCATCTGCTGTGGCCTGTGCTGGTCTGCTCCACTCTGCTCTGGGGAGACATCTTCTGTTTCAGCTCTAGTCAGGGGAAACTACTAGAGCTAAAGTATTCAGTATTTAGTGGAAAGGGAAAGTGCACTTTAGACTCTAAACCGCCAGAGGCCCCTCCTTCCCCCCTGCTGACCCCGTCCCCAATTGCTCCCCCAACCCCCCCCATCAAGGGCGGGGCCAGCTGGCCAACCTCCTGTGTCCCCTCCCCCCAGCCAGCCAGGCCCAATGTGCCAGATCCGGGCAGGCCACAGACCCCACCCGTGCACAAATTGGTGCACCAGACCTCTAGTAAGATACATAAATGTCAAATCACTATTTGTACATCTGAAACTAATATATTGTATGTCAACTAAACTTTAATAAAATAAATATTTTTGAAGAAATTTTAGTCTATACTCCTAAATTGCTTTCTATTCAATTATGTAAAGCAAGGGGTCAAATTTGCCCTGGCCAGTGTAGCTAAGTGGTTAGAGAGTTGGCCCTGGGACTAAAGGGTCGTGGGTTTGATTCCCAGTCAAGGGCACATACCTGAGTTGCAGGTTCATTCCCTGGCCCAGTGGAGGCCCATGCAGGAGACAACCAATCTATGTGTCTCTCTCACATCAATATTTCTCTCTCTCTCTCCCTCCCTTTCAGTTCTCTAAAAGATCAATGGAAAAAAATATCTTTGGGTGAGGATTAACAACAACAAAAAATCCTCAAATTATTTCAGTATGATTTATTACCTAAAAATCAATGGGATTTGACATTTAGTATAATTTCATTGTAATTCTTCCCAAACCAATAAGAATAAATCAAAAAACTTGTTATAAAAGGCTTACTGAATAATCAAGTTCAATCCCCCATTTTACAGATATAGAAACAAAAGCCCAGAAAGTTTAAACTCAAACGTGCATAACCAAAAAGGCCATAATTAGAACCCAGACATTCTATCTCCCCAACCAGTATGATTTCAAGTCTTGCCTCTAATAGGACATAGTTACTAAAAGTGTCCTTCAAATTTCTTTTGTGGTCTATACTTTAAATAAGTTATCTGTCAAAAATGCTCACTATTTAATAAACGCAAACAGGGAATACATTTTTTAAAGTATTTTAGCCCTAACCGGTGTGACTCAGTTGGTTGAAGACTGGTCCCATTCACCAAAAGGTGGCAGGTTCAATTACCAGTTAGTGCACATACCCAGGTTTTGATTCCATCCCCAGTCGGGGTGAGTGCTAGAGGCAACAGATAGAAGTTTCTCCTTCTCTCATGAGCTCGCTCTCTCGCTCTCTCTCTTTCTCTCTCTCTCTCTCTCTCTCTCTCTCTCTCTCTCTCTCTCTCTCTCGTCTCCCTTGCTCTCTAAAATCAATTTTAAATTTTTTAAAGTATCTTAATTAATATAACCTCTTGAGATTAATATCATATTGTAAGTTTTCTATGATAGAAGTGCATTACTAAATAAGTAAACCCAAGCCCTAGCCGGTTTGGCTCAGTGGATAGAATGTCAACCTCAGACTGAAGGGTCCCAGGTTTGATTCGGGTCAAGGGCACATGCCCAGGTTGCAGGCTCAATCCCCACTAGGAGGAGCGCAGGAGTCAGTCAATCAATGATTCTCTCTCATCATTGATGTTTCTATCTATCTCTCCCTCTCCCTTCCCCTCTGAAATCAATAAAAATATATTTAATAAAAAATAATAAATAAACCCAAGACAACAGCTGACAAAACAGTAAAGGAATAATTTTATTTTTAAATAAATGGCAAAAACTCAACTTTACAAAATAACTTTATCAATGTAAATTATTTTTAAATAGAAATAAGAACTGATCATACGTACATCAAATTATACTCTCATTCACTGAATGAGCACATACATTCCAAACAAGTTAATGCAAGGGCAAATATGTAAATATATAGAAATAAATGTATACACCCAAATAACAAACTACAGACATACATTACCATTTCCTGAGACCTAAATCTTCTCATAAATGTACTGGAAAATATAGCAAAATATCAATATAAAGGAACATGCATATACATATATGCATAAATACCAAACTCCAAAATGACATGCAGACATATAACATAGGTGCTTTTATACATATGCATAAACATATAGCTCAGTCAGAAATGCCCAGACAGAAACAAATTGTGATCTACAAAGCACTTTATAATATTATAACCTTCCTACTACTGGTAAAAACTCAACAGTTCACAATGAAATTGAGTTTAATAAAATGCTCATGCTTTAAATAATGAAAACAGAAAAAGGAACCAGACTCTAAAGCCACTCCTCATTGCCACTCAATTTCTTAAAAATTGAATATGTGAAGACAACTTCAAAACTTAGTAGCACAAGGAGTTTGGTGACTCCTATCTAGAATAAAGATTATTTGATAAATGAAATCACTAAAAGTGAACAGAGAAACATTTTGTAAAGTGCATTAAATTCTTTTTACTTTAAAGGCCCTGCTAGAGACTTGCTGCTGCTCTAATTCACGACTTGGAGATGCAAAACTAAAAAAGTTGTTGCTGGGTTCAGGTGCTGTGGGAGAACCCATAAAAAATGGTCTGAACTGAAAATCTCCGTCTCCACCACCCTGGTTTTGAACTGGTGTACTGTCCAAAGGAAACTTGGATTTGTTCCCTAGGGGGGAAAGAACGGGAAAACTTAAGCATCTATTTACTTACAAATTTTTAAAACCAAAAAGACAAAATTCATTCAATAAATATTTTAACAGAACTCAATTCATACAAGACAAATAAAATATAAACCTAATGTTAAATAAAGAAAAGGACCATGACAGTCCCCATCCCTCCCCCTGACCACAGTATAAATACTGTACCTTCTTCTGTGATGCAATTTCCAATTACAGCCATGACCTCATCACCAAAAGTAATTTGACACAATGAAATACATTTTTAGCCTTGACTGGTGTGACTCAGTTGGTTAAAGCATTGCCCTGTGCACCAAAAGTTCATGGATTTGGTTCCCGGAGGGCACATACCTACATTGTGGGTTCAATCCCCAGTTGTCAGGGCACTTATAGGAGGCAACTGATATCTATCTATCTATCTATCTATCTATCTATCTCCTTCCCTCCCTCCCTCTCTAAAAATCAATTTAACAAATAATAATAATAAATTAATTAATGGCAGCTAATATTATTATTACTGCAACTAAATAGCTTTTCATTTAAAGCAGCAATTTGTGAAATTTTATTTTGAAGATATTTACTTTCTGTTCAAATTGAAGCTGTAACTTAAACATAAACAAATATGATAAAAGATAATAGATAAATGATGTACAGAATGAGACATGGGTGAAGAATCTAGAGCCTATCACCATTCTCAGCCTTTGGAGTCTCTACTAACTACTTGGAGCCATGCAGAACACAATGTGAAAAATCACTGATTTAAAGAACAAATATTAGATAATTATATGTCCTTCCTTACCTAATGGGAAGCCAAAAATACCAGAATTGGAAATCATGGATGGTTCAAAGTTACCTTCCTGATTAGCAATAGTGATGTTTCGTAGCCTAAGGCTATCATAGAGGCCTTGGAGCTTTTGATACTGACGATTCCGCTCCATAAGTTTCTCAGAGATGTCACTGAACTTTTTCTTGTATTCTTCTAGCACTTTCTTCATTGAGGTGACCTCTCCTTTCATAGAGGTCAATTCTACATCCTTGCTCTGTATTTGCTGAGTATATATCTTCTCCATCTGCTTCAGATGACCCTCAGCTTTGCTGAATTTGTATTCTTGATAGAGGCGCTCCTGATGTACCTGTCCCAAGAGAGGAGAAAAAAAGATTTTCAAGGTAATAAATATAAAACTTATATATTGTAAAACTTTACAAATGCAAAAAGAAAAGAAAGATGATTATCCTGGGGTATTATTAACATTTAGAACCATGTTAAGAAGTAATCGGGGTGTACAATAGGATGATTATTATAGAAAGTAATATGTTATGTAACTAAATGCATAAAAAAATCTGGAGGAATACTATCACACCACTACCATTACACCAACAAAAGAAGTAAGCATTTGTCTAACTTTTACAAATGACATGTAGTCCAAAAATTTTTTGTATGCATGCATATAAACATAACCAATGGACGCAAGACATGGGGGTTGGGGGTTGAGGACATGTACCAGGGGGTAGGGGAGGCTGGGGGAAGGTCAATGGGGTAAAAAAGGAGACATATGTACTACTATTTGTAATACTTTAAACAATAAAATAAAATTTAAAAAATTATATTGGGATTAGGGGTGGGAGGGAGAGGAAGGGGGAATGATGATGCTTTTTTGTTAAACTAGAAGAAATATACTATATCTACTAATAAAAACTATTATTTATTGAAAAATAAAAAAATTTTAAAAAAGAAATATAATCTGCCCTAGCCTGTTTGACTCAGTGGATAGATCGTTGGCCTGCAGACTGAAGAGTCCCAGGTTTGATTCAGGTCAAGGGCACATGCCCAGGTTGAGGGCTTGATCCCCAGTAGAGGGTGTGTAGGAGGCAGCTGATCAATGGTTCTCTTTCATCATTGATGTTTCTATCTCTCTCTCCCGCTCCCTTCCTCTCTGAAATCAATAAAAATATGTTTTTTAAAAAAGAAATATAATCCTATGTTTTAAGTAAATCATAGTGCAAAGAACAGATTATAAGATAGCCCCCAATTATTCCTGTCTCTTGGTATTTACTAGTATATTCCCTTCCTTGAGTGTGGATGGGAGACCTGTAACTAAAACACAGAAAAAAATTACAAGATGTCACTTCATGAGAATATAAGATCTGTCTTGTTAGTACACTCTCTCTTGTTGGCTTTGTGAAAGCATGCAGCCATACTGGGAAGGCCAACAAGGCAAGTAACTGAGAGGAGACTCTGAGCAATAGCCAGCAATATACTTAGGTCACAGTGAATCTACTCATAGATTTTACACCTTTCACAAAATTAACTCAAAATGGATCACAGACCTGAATGTAAAATATAAAACTATAAAATTCCTACAAGATAACATAGGAGAAAATCTAAATGACCTTGGGTTTGGTGGTGACTTTTTACTAGTATATATAACACCAAAGACAAAATGTACGAAAGAATTGATAAGCTAGACTTCATTAAAATTAAAATTTTCTGCTCTGTGAAAGACAATGTCAAGAGAATAAAAGATAAGTCACAGACTAATCTATATATATAAAAGACTAAGTGACTGAAGGACTGAACGACCAAACGACTGGTCGACCAGTTGCTATGATGTGCACTGACCACCGGAGGGCAGACGCTCAATGCAGGAGCTGCCTCCTGGTGGTCAGTGTGCTCCCACAGCCAACCTACCTATATCCAATTGGTAAGTCGAAAGTATGGAGAACCAAGTACCCGCATATACTTCTTAATAGAACACACTGATATAACCTAATTTGAGGGCAATTTAAAAATACTGCAATTTAGCCCAGCTGGCGTGGCTCAGTGGTTGAGCATCGATCTATGAACCAGGAGGTCATTGTTTGATTCCCGGTCAGGGTGCATTCCTGGGTTGCGGGCTCAACCCCTGATGTGGGGCCCTGCAGGAGGCAGCCAATCAATGATTCTCTCTCATCATTGATGTTTCCATCTCTCTCTCTCCCTCTGCCTTCCTCTCTGAAATCAATAAAAATATTTTTTAAGCCCTAGCCCATGGACTTAAGATCCCAGGTTAGATTCTGGTCAGGATCATGTACTTCGGTTACAGGCTCTATCTCTGGCCCTGGTTGGGGTGCGTGCAAGAGGCAACCAATCGATGTGTCTCTCTGACATCGATGTTTCTCTCTCTTTCTCCCTTCCCTTCCACTCTCTGTAAAAATCAATGGAAAAATATCCTCTGGTGCCCAGCTGGTGTGGCTCAGTGGTTGAGTGTTGACCTATGAACCATGATCCCCAATGGGGAATGTGCAGGGGGCAGCCGATCAATGATTCTTTCTCATCATTGATGTTTCTAGCTCTCTCTCCCTCTCACTGCCTCTCTGAAATCAATAAAAATATTTTTTTTAAAAAAGAAAAATATCCTTGGGTGAGAATTAACAAAAAACAATGTGTAAATTGTTTAAATGCTGCAATTTAAAAAACATTTTAAATTGTTTAAATACTGCAATTTAAAGAACATTGAAATTGATTTATCTAGCCCTAACCGGTTTGGCTCAGTGGATAGAGTGTCGGCCTGCAGACTAAATGGTCCCAGGTTCGATTCCGGCCAAGGGCATATACCTTGGTTGCGGGCACATCCCCAATGGGGAGTGTGCAGGAGGCAGCTGATCGATGTTTCTCTCTCATCGATGTTTCTAACTCTCTATCCCTCTCCGTTCCTCTCTGTAAAAAATCAATAAAATATATTTTTTTAAAAAGAAATTGATTTATCTATTTTCAGGAATTTAATCTTAGCAAATAATTAAAGACATGAATTTGATATTAATAATGCTCATCAAAGCATTTTTAATAACTTGGAAATAAATTATGATACAATGCAATCATTAAAATTATAATTACATAATGCTTACTTTAAAAATATTTAATAAAATATTCATAATAGGCATAATATATCATCAACTTTAACTGGCCATAAAAACAGTATGTGAGCCGAAACCGGTTTGGCTCAGTGGATAGAGCGTCGGGCTGCGGACTGAAAGTTCCCAGGTTCAATTCCGGTCAAGGGCATGTACCTGGGTTGCGGGCACATCCCCAGTGGGAGATGTGCAGGAGGCAGCTGATCGATGTTTCTCTCTCATCGATGTTTCTAGCTCTCTATCTCTCTCCCTTCCTCTCTGTAAAAAATCAATAAAATATATTTTTAAAAAAACAGTATGTGTGGTATTATCCTTTTTTTGTAAAGATAAAAATATATATTTATATATAAAATACATATTTATATACATAAAAGTAGTAATACACAAAATATCAATAATAATTATCTCTAAGTGATAGAATTATGGTTTTTTAAATTGTTCTTTCTTCTGGATTTTCAACAATAAATATATTACTTTTAAAGAAAAAAATGTATTAAAAAGAAAATTTTCCATACATCCATAAAAAATAAATACAAACACAAGTGAAGGAAAAACATTAGAAACTTCTACATATACCTCAAATCATACTCTCCAAAGAAACTAGCCTAAGCACTAACCTGGTATGTCCAGAAGGCCAGTGCTCGGGAGCTAATGTCCAACACAATCTCTGGTCGAAGTCCTGCCAGTACCATGGCTTTATATTCCTCTGATGGACTGAGTTCTGTACGGACAATATCTAGTTTTCCAGAAAGGGTACTGTTGCAAGCTGGGCAGATAGCTGGCGAACGACTAAACTCACCGCTGCCATGCTGATCACAGAAAATGTGAGAGCAGGCAGTGACCCACGCATAACCGGAGAGCTTGATGCGACACTTTCGATAATTACAAAGCAGCATGTCGTCACACAAAGACATAATATACAGTGAGGTCCCAGATTCTGAAATGAATCCTAACAAGCAGTAAATGAAAAGGTCAAATAAATCAAACTGCAGTGAAAATGGAATAAATAACAAATAAAGAAACCATGTTTTAATTATATAATAATGTACACTTATGTTTTTGCATTTATTACATTTAATATATTGTGTTGATTTTAATCACTTAACCATATTAATTGTGCTCCTTTGTGCAAACCACTACAAAGGCCTTGAAAAAAAATTAATGAAAAAGTGAAGACGCAGGTGGTTTCAAATTTTAGTAAAATAAAAAATAATATGTACATGGGGGGAAAGTTTAGAAAAGTTTACAAAGTACAAATAAAAAATTAAATTAGTGCTTATTGTCATTCCTTAACTCATAAACAAAAATCCCAATTTATTACCCATTCTTAGTTTGCTAGGATAGGTCAGTATTACTTCTCACACTTGGTAGACAGAAAAGTCCAGGAACTGATTTCAGCCATCCTTTACTGCAAAGTACTTTGAGGTTTTTCACATATGGCTGATTTCTCAGATTCTTCACCTACAGAGTCCTAGTAACCTGATACTATTAAATGGAAACTAACCTCATCCACCCAAGTGATGGACCATTATGAAGCACGAAAAACTGTGTAAACGCAGGTATTTTTATCATGAGATCAAGACTCACCGGTTATTATAAATACTATTCCATGCTACACTTCCATTTAAAACATCTGTAAAACTAAATACACTCTTAAGTTAGTTTTCAATATAGTGTTCACTCTTATTGGAATTTTACTAACCCGTACAGGGCAGCAATCTTCTGGATATACTAAAATAAGTCATATACTGTAAAAATAATAATAATAATAATAATAATAATAATAATACACCAATTAGACGCCAAGAAAAAATGTTCACATTCCTCCAGTGACAAATTCTGTCAAGAATGCTGCATTGGGCCTGGCCGGTTTGGCTCAGTGGTTAGGGCGTGGTTTCTCCTCCTCCCCCCCCACCCCCCCACCCCCCACACACACACCCCGAAGGGTCCCGGGTGGGATTCTGGGATTCTGGACAAGGGCACGTGCCTCGGTTGCCGGCTCCATCCGGCCCCAGTGTGGGCGTGGGGGAGGCAGCCAATCTCCCCAATCTCCCTCACACCGATGTCTCTCTCTGTCTCTCCCCTCCCTTCCAGTCTCTCTAATAATCAATGGGAAAATATTAACAACGACAACAAATGTTGCATTGGTCACAGGGTGGACAAGGACCCTGCCACCTTTGCCCTCAGCGTGAGTCTCCACAGGTGTCGGCAGGCCAGGCTGCCGCAGTTCGGAGGCCTGTTTTCCCTCCGCAGGGTACTGGGCAGCGGGAAGCAGAAGAGCTGGGAACAGTCTCAAAGCCGAGACCGTTCTCGGAGAGCGAGAGGCACAGATAATACCAGCTTCTCCACGAGATGCGGAAAGAGCCAATTTAGCGAGCTGCCCAGTTATCAAGGGCCAACTTTTTGAGATTTGGATTCACAGAAACATCACTGAAATTCTCGGCCGGCTTTCCGCGCTGGACACAGAAAATAATTCTAATGACATACCTAAGCTGAGGCGACACAAGAAGAGAAAAAAGCGCGGGAAAACGCGGTTCTCTCCACCATGCCAGCACACGAAAGCATTCGTTGCGCGCGTCGCCACTACAGCTGAGAGCGCATGCGCAGACTACAGCTGAGAGCGCATGCGCAGAGTCGCCCCGGAGCCTGCCGGGAGTTCCAGCCGCTCAGGATGCTGGGACCTGTCCGCTGTGACACCGACTTGGGCCACGCACCCACCAGGCATGCCTGTCTCAGGCGCTGTGAGGACGCAATTCGCACTGAGCCTGGTCTAGATTTCCGACTTGGGAGCCCTACTGTCCTCGAGTGTCCTTTACTGCCCTCGACCAGCCGCAAGTCCCATCCTGGCTTGAAAGGGGGTAACATTTGATGCCAGTCTCCTGAGGGTAAGAGCAGAGGGGGCCAGTTGAGAAGCACGGGCCGCCTCTGAGTAGGTGTTTATCCAGGGAAAATATGGGGGTGCCCACTGGGCAGCACAGGCTTTCTTAGTTTCAGAAAAAAATCCCCCAAATCGTGATACCTAAAACTGGACAGCTATCACCTACGCATTGAGGTAGATTCTGCCATTTTATTTTTTGTCCATCTTGAAATAGACGTATTTCCAGCTTTTACACATCATCTATATACGGTAGACTTAAATAGAATTTTCCTTGGTTGAGAGTCCGCATTATGCACATTCATTACAACGCTTGAAATGAAACAATAGGACCAGGCGCCACAGGTGTTTTTGAGGTGATCTGCCCGTGTACTCTCCTGGATCTGCTTGTGGTTTTTAAAAAGTGTATACCCGTTGGACCCTAATGTTTTTACCTGTTTCTTTTTTCTGCTGATTTTTTGCTCAATGCGTGTATTAGAATTCATATTAGAAATTAAGCTGGGGAGGGCTTGAGGGGTCCTTATATAAGCCTTAACACTGTCTTTTGTAGCCACCTTTCCAGATGATGTGACTCCACTGTGAATCTGTGACACACAATCCAATGAATCAGCCACAAAATGGACACCAAGTCCTGCAAACCCTTTACGGGTTGTGAATGTTACTAAATCTCCTTCGGACAAAAACCTATCCTAATAAAACAACTTCCTACTAGTTTTTTGTTTTATTTTTTTGCAACTTGTTCACAGTAACTGGAAAGGCTTATCTTGGCCTTTGTATACATTTCAATGTCTATCTTCTGAGAATTTACAGAGATAATTCTAGTGGTACAAATTGGATGAAAAAAAAATGTAGCCCTTAACTTCTATTTTGGCAATCTGAGCCTTTTGTGCATTTTCTGGATTTGACTATGCCAAATGTAGAAATAAACTCAAAAGGATACAGTGTCTTTTAAAGTTATAAAACACAAAGCAATCAAATTTCACCAGCACAAGTACCTAACGTTGTAATCCTAGCCATTACCTTTGTTCTGCAATATCCCTTCCTACTTCATTAAGATCATCCCACAGATTTCCCAAACCTAGTGTCCCCCACACCATTGTTTCCAACTTCCAACCCATTTGGCTAAAAGCCTGTGTGAGTTACTATATTATCTCTCAGTGTATATAGTGTGGGAGCTACAAAGTCTTAATATCGCAGAAGTCTGGAACACTAAAAACTAAACTGGTTCTTGGTAATATGTGTCCTGTTCTCATAGCGTAAATTCTTTCCTGGATTATTTCTAGGATGCTCTGGAGATGAGACCACTGAAATCAAGGCAGAGATACAGAGACCCATTCACCAAAGTTTTTTAAATATTGTTTTTTATTATTAAATATCAAGCATATAAAAATATATGAATGACCACTTTTCTCACATTTGCTATTTAAATGAACACAGTATATACAATTTTCGGCACCCCTATATACATCTCAATCCCATTTAATATGTACCACGCCAGAGGAAAAACCCGATTGTGGTGTTAAACAATCTCATACATG